CCCCCCCAACCAATTAGAAAAAAATTCTACCTTCATCTACTCCTTCATTTGGTATTCACGCTGCTGTAGCTTAGTGATTGGCAATATTCTAATTGGAAGGTAAAGTCAACCTCGGATTGGTTAAATATTAGGTGAGTCAACTGAATCAGTCGATGATTGGCTTTCTTATAATTAGATAAGCTCACTGGGGATGGTTCACTTTAAATGTTTTTCGAATGGCTTGAAGCTTACGTCTACAACGAGGACAACACTCCCCGGGTTCTGCTGGTTGCGTCCCCTCTGGACCGCAGTCGAGATCGGGGCAATTCTGGCGTTCACAGTCCACCTCTCCTGTATCGCCGTTGCAGATGCAGGCCATGCAAGAGCGTGACTGTTCCATCACTTCTCCAGGCTGCAGCACCCTCCCATCTTCTAGCATGCATGTTCGCTCACCACCTGCATAATAAATCAACAATATAAAATTCATTCGCATACTACTAACAAAGTATTAAGTAGCTTGAAAAACAAATAAATCCCAACCTCAAAATATCCTATGCTAAAATCCTAAATCAATTAAAAGTACTGATAGGCAATCGATATATTTTTTAGTAGTTGATAGGCGACTGAAACCTGTTAATAGCAGTTTCGATAATTGATACAGGGGTTATGATTAAGCAAATATTGATAAGGAAAAGTCAACTCATCAAAGAATTTTACTACATTTTTTGTTTCGCATAATAAAATTCGAATTTTGGATCTCTAATTTCTTATTTAAAATTTGAATTTTTAAGCAATGCTTAATGTCGGCTGTTTAATCATAAGGTTCAGTCAATCATCTTTCAAAGATTGAGCTAGAAGAATGATCCAATAATTATATTAAGTAGTTACACATATTCCTAACATAGCAGATTTCCTACTGTTAAATTCGAAAGAGATATAGTTCACTTAGCAATATTGGACAACTATTTGAATGTTATTTAAGCTTTTGTGTCACTGGTATGAAAAGCCCTTCGTTAATATTGCCTACTCCCATTTCTACTATTTCTATCAGATTAGAACCATATTAGTAAGCTGATCTTTGAGGAGTCGTCTTACTGTTGTTGAGGTGATGGAAGATCGATAATAATTTAATATCCTAGAAAGCATGATTTCGAAGCCAACAGTTGTTCGCTTTGCAACAATACGGACATCTTATTTTATTTCCATTTTAATATCGAAATTATTGTCTGTTGAACTCAAAGTTAACTACTATCCTTGATGTAATAACATAATTAGCTAATTAATTACATAGTAATTTGCTTTCAAATCGATTTGATTAGAAATCAATGATGACTGCAGGCATAAAACATCTTAAATAATAGCGGGAAAGTTTAGAACCCAGTAAAATTGTATCTGGTTATCTTAAATAATGGAATCTTTTATAATTGGAAGTAACCCTAAAAGAGGGTTTGATGACAGTCGGGAAGTGGACTTACGTTGGGCAGCAACAAGAATTGAAGGTTGGATGGTAACCAAAGCGACGATTAGGGCGAGGGTGATAACAATGTCCCGTCGATGGAATAGAGTCGTCATAAGAAATCGCCTCGGTTTATTAGCATATCTTCCAGAATCTTTTTTGTCAAAGCGGCCGCTGACCGCCGCCTGCGGCTTTCCACGCTGGCACGGTTCAGCCGCCATAATGCTGTCGGGCGTAGGAAATCCCCTTTCCTGCGAACCCCTTCTGCAGCTCTTACGGATGATCCAGTCCGCTGCACAAAAGAGGAAGTGGACCAACTCTAAGTTAGGCGGCCCAAGCGGCACGCACAGCATAGCCTGGCGCGCGTATAACCATGTGTGCAGCCACGTACGCACCAACCATCCTCTCTTCACCAATAGCTGGGCGAATAAGTACTTTGATCAATGCTGATATTGGCGCATTTCCAATTAACCAATTAGGGATAAGTAGGCCAATTTTCATTCGCCTATTCGTTGATAGAGCACAACTTACTAACTTGAGTTTTCTTGGTTTTTTTTCCCGTGAAAGGAAACTTGAATGCTATTAAAATGCAAAAAATAGTTTTTAGTTCTCGTTTTGGTACAGAAATATTTGAAATTTTGAGGAAAGTATGTTCAATATCAGATAGATCGCAATTTCAAATTTTTCTATCCTCTTTGGAAACTGAAAGCATTGATAAATTTGATCGATTTGTTTGAGTTAGCCTAATTGACGTTTTTTTCAAAAATTTATTGAGTACAACCCATGATGAAGTCTTCCATTAAATAGGAAGTAATACTATATCCACTTTTTAAACAATTATGTATAAATTAACATCTTCAAAGTTTCCGGTTTATATTGGGTTAATTAAACAAATTCATGAAAATAACACCATTCATAAAAATTCTAACCATTAGTAATCGACAGCCAGTCAAATAGACTAGTTACTTTCACCAATCTTTTGATTAATTTAATACAATCTTGATAATGTGGGCTTGAAATATAGAGCTCAATTAATCGCATCAAATTTATTTGTTATGTAATTAGAAGTATAATATCAATATCTAATATTCTTCTGGCATTATTAAATTTGTGCTGACAGTTTTGTAAGTAGATTAAAATAGGAGATCGATTGTGAAAGACTATGAGCGTCCTACTTTCTGTAACTCTCACTGGACATGACCCGTTTCCACGCGATAAAAACACACCAATGCGCACACATCCTATTGGCAGTGCAAATCAAGCCATGGTGCGTGGATGGTGGTGATGAAACGGGTACCAGTAATGAGGCACGGCAAGGGAGAGGCCACAATAGCACCCGCGAGTGCGTAACAAACTACTGGGGGCATACACACACACACCGAGTTGGTTGCGATCGGGTTAGGTTGCAGCAACAGCGGTTAGAGGTGCTATAGACTACTCTCCTGTGTGTAAGGCTGTGACAGTACGCAGAGGCGAACTCGGCAACATGGGGTCTAAAAGCAGACTCTGTTTGTTGGCTATCGCCTGCTTACTTCTCGCCACCGTTGCATACGGTACGTCAGTTTTCACTTTCCCCATCTATCGCTTACCCTGCCTAATCTTCCAGTTACATATAAAATCGCTTTACCTCTATTCAACTCCTTTATCTCCATTTTAAATTAAATTATAGGTGAGCCATTGAGGCGTTTGAAGAAAACCAATTCTGTAAGTTATCCCACCTTCATAACACTCTTAAATACCTATTTTTTCGAATATTCGTTCAATTATTTTTATAATCTTGACCGGTCCATTTTCACGCTATTTGTAGTAATTTATGAATTGATGGCAACTAATTAGTTTATTTTATCAATTTTAGGATGGTGGTAAGAACGCACATGTATCTATGTTTTAATGGCATGAATGTACAAATAAAAGCTGTGTGCATGTCTTGGAAACATAAGAGAACAGTTTCATTTTTACTTATTAATGTATACACTTCTGTCTGATTGAATTTATTTAGATGAAGAATTGTCCCGTTCAAGAAGACAAGCTGATTCTTCTCCTTCGAGTGGAGTATGTTCCTCATTTGCATTATACAATGACTATCTTTCCTTCGAATATCCTAAATCTGTGTTCAAATTAACACGTAGAGTGTAAAGGGTCCAGCTCCATTTGGAGATACCAAGTACCGCGTCGGACAACCTGGTCCTCAGGGTGAGCGTGGTCCTCCAGGTCCACCTGGTCCAGATGGTGAAATGGGCCCCCAAGGTCCACCTGGACCACCTGGTCCCGCTGGAGCCAATGGCCCTGAAGGTCCACCTGGACCTCCGGGTCAACCTGGTGTAGATGGGCGAATGGGGCGTGATGGAGAGCCCGGTCTTCCCGGTCCCCAGGGAGACATGGGTCCACAAGGTCCGACAGGTCCTCCTGGTCCCCCTGGGCCTAAGGGTCCAACAGGTCCACAAGGTCCCAAGGGAGAGCGTGGAGATCAGGGTCGTGATGGACCTGAAGGTATGCGTGGAGAGACTGGTCACCAAGGTCCAGCTGGACGACCAGGGCCCCGTGGTACAAGAGGCCCTACAGGTCCCGTTGGTGCTGCAGGACCTCGTGGCCCTGATGGGGCTGATGGCATGATTGGTCCTGTTGGTCCAACAGGTGCCTCCGGTATACCCGGTCAGCATGGAGAAGCGGGTCCCCCTGGTGCTCCTGGTGAACCTGGAGCTCCCGGTCCCCGTGGTCCCACTGGTCCTTCTGGTCCAGCTGGTGCTGCTGGAAAACCCGGTCAACCCGGTGCCCCTGGTATCCAGGTAAGCTAATTTATAACCTCTATTTATCTCTAGAGTATTAATGAGATCGGTTGGGATCATTTTATTACATGCTTGTAAATGAATTCATTTCACCAACCTATTATAACTGAATAAAATTTTTACTAATAAAGGATTCATATTCGCTTTGGAAAAGCTAAATGATGCATTTTATTCTAGAAAAAATATCCTGGATGACTCAATCCTTCATATTATTTAGAATAATATTATTGAATCCCCTTCTTAATGTGAAATTTATTAATTTTTTACCTGCGAATCCCTTTATAATGTTTTTTTGTTTTTGCCTCCAATAGCTTCAGTAAAAATCTTTCCAACGTCCACGCAATGTCGTGCGTGAACATCAAATTTAAAATAGAACTGAACAAATTGCTTTTTTTATAATTCTGCCCCATATTATAGGGTTCGCCTGGTCGTGACGGTTCTCAAGGTCCAAAAGGTGAGCCCGGACTCCGCGGTCCGGCTGGAAGTGTGGGTCCCCAGGGTCCACGAGGTGCTAATGGCCCCACCGGTGCAACAGGAGAAGTTGGGCCCAAGGGTCCAGTTGGTCTTCCCGGGCCCGTTGGCTTTCCCGGCCCCACCGGCCATCAAGGTCATCCTGGACCAATAGGAGACAGAGGACCTACTGGTAAGTCTTTTCACTTGAATTATCTTTTATTTAACTTTTATTTATTTCAAATGGCAGGCATTTTGATGGTTTATTTATTTATATCAAATGGCAGGCATTATGATAGTTATCATTAGCCCCTTAGTTGACTTCAGGCTTCACAGAGGGACTGGTAACATCAAGGAGAAAAAAGTCAAGATGGTGGGGAGGGGGGAACAGAAGAGTGATTCAAAGATGCAAAAGAGACAGACACAAAGGTAGAGAAAAAGGTAAGGTGAGTAATGTGGAAGTAGTCGAATATGACATACAGTGGGGTGTTCTGGTAGTTTGAAGTGAGAAGTCAACTGCCAGTTAACAGACTTTTTTGCCGTATGATTATGCGTTGCCCAGGGTGTACCACGTGGAGGTAAGTCTATTACACAACCCAAAGAGCCTGCGGACACTCTCGTGCCCTGGTTATTTAACTTAATCATCACACTTCCCGATGTAGCTCATTCAGACAAAGGAAAGATATCGTGTGTCAAATGTCGATCTAGTTCCGCTCTCGCTATTCATCTAAATCTGTGTTTTCAGAATAATATTTAGGAGTTTCTTTTGTTAGGAACGAAGAAGATAAAGGCTTCTATTTTCACCATGTGCATAATTGAACAAACAAATATATTTTCTTGCTTCTCCTCAACACAGAGACGAATACAAATTAAAAATCTGCTGCTGTCTTTCGGAGTGAAATGCCCTGTTTATATTTGCTGCCATTCGAACGTAAAACAGTTCCATGAAATAAGTCTATTTTAACGTTTGTGCGAAACAAACTGCGAGAAGACATTCGTTAATAAACCTAAAGCCTCCGTTCATATTTTATTAACTTGGTTTTTCGTTATGATGGTTGATCATTGCACTTATGCAAACCCACAAACCACTTGTACTAAAAGCAACGAAACTATGAAGTATGGAAATTAATACGAAGATATATACTATTTACTTAGGTGCTCCTGGCCCAATGGGTCCAACTGGTGCACGCGGTCCACGTGGCCGTGACGGTCAGAAGGGTGCAATGGGTCCCCCTGGTTCACCAGGTGCACCCGGTGCTCCTGGTAGCGATGGTCGTCCTGGGCAACCGGGTAGCCCTGGTCGTCAAGGTCCACGTGGTCGCACTGGACCCCGTGGTGAAACTGGTCCCGCTGGTCCTGACGGTGCTGATGGGAAGGCTGGTCCTGTTGGTCATCCTGGTGCTGATGGCAAAGAAGGCGCTCCCGGACCACAAGGACCTCAAGGTCCTCGTGGCCCACCTGGCAAACCTGGTGACGATGGTGCCCCTGGTCGCCCTGGCGTTGCCGGTCCAGTTGGTGAACAGGGTCCTCGTGGTCCACCTGTAAGGAAACTCCCTCAATTTCACCGGGCACATAAATTAAGTTCGACTAATTAATAGAACACCATTTTAAATTTAAGGGCCTTCGAGGAGAGCACGGTAATGCAGGGCCGAATGGTCCAGTTGGTCCTAAGGGAGACAGCGGTGACAAGGGTCCAACAGGTCCCACTGGTGTTCCCGGAGAAGTTGGTCCAATAGGTCCACGCGGTAGGCCTGGTCGTCAAGGTCCTAAAGGTCAACAAGGTCCAGCCGGACCTGATGGACCTCCTGGACCCCGCGGCCCTCGTGGAGCTAGTGGTGAACATGGTGATGATGGCAAGGATGGTGAACCTGGCAAGGACGCTGAAGATGGTCCTCAAGGTCCACGTGGTCGCCCTGGACCTCCTGGTGAACGAGGTGAACCTGGTCCTACTGGCCCTCCAGGAACCGCTGGAGAGCCCGGTGCTAAGGGAGATGCTGGCCCAATGGGACCTACTGGTATTATGGGTGCTGCCGTAAGAATATTCACATATTACTATGTTGATAACATTATTTAGTGCAACGTAAAATTTGACTTGAAATCGTCCAGAAGTTATGGTTTGGAATAACCAAAAATGGAAACTGCATAATTTCGGAAAAGTAAAAATTATTTTATTGACTGCTAGACAGTTCGGATGTCAGCTAAAGCTTTTTAGGAGTTGATTTTTTTTCCAGCTGTTTGTACTACCTTGACCTTGTAAACTTTTACTATACCGATTTTGAAGTAAATTATATAAAAAGGAAAGGTCAATTTAACATTGATGGTTTATCTGCTTCTCAGGGTCTTCCTGGTGCTCCTGGTGAGGAGGGTATCCAAGGTCCCCGTGGTTACAAGGGCGACCGCGGTCGTCAGGGTCCTCGCGGTCCTCCCGGTAAACACGGAGCACCTGGTCCACGCGGTCCCACCGGTAAGGCAGGCCTTCCTGGCTTCCTACGAATTGTTGGACGCAATGTTGGTGCCACCGGTGCCCCTGGTGAAACTGGGCCTATTGGGCCCAAAGGACCTAAGGGTCGCGCTGGTATGCAAGGTATTCAAGGCCAAACCGGCCCAGCTGGTACTCCTGGTGCCAATGGCAAACGCGGTCCTGAAGGTCCTAAGGGACCTAGTGGAAACCCTGGTCGAGATGGCCCTAACGGCGCTCCAGGTCTTCCTGGTCCAGCTGGTCATAGTGGAGCTCCTGGCCCCACTGGTCAGCAGGGTATTCCTGGTAAACCTGGACTCCGTGGTCCACCTGGTTTTGACGGTCTCCCGGGTCCCCGTGGTATGGCTGGTCCTAATGGAAAGCCTGGAGCTACTGGACGAGTTGGTGAGCCCGGAAACCAGGGACCACCTGGCCCAGTTGGCCCACCTGGTCGTGATGGAGCGCCAGGTCGTGAGGGAGCTCAAGGTGACCAAGGACCTACTGGTGAAGCTGGTCCTGTTGGCGACAAGGGTCCTCATGGCCCAGTCGGTCGTGATGGTCCTATGGGTTCTCAAGGTATGCGAGGAGTAACTGGCGGTCCCGGTGCTCAGGGACCTCCTGGTCCAGAGGGTCTTCCCGGACCTCAGGGTCCTCAAGGTCCTACTGGTGACCAAGGTCCTCCAGGTCCCCAAGGTCCCGAAGGTCGTAAGGGTCCAACAGGTGAAGAGGGTCCTGAAGGACCTGTCGGAGCCGATGGCGATGCCGGTCCTGAAGGTCTGCCTGGAGAAGTCGGTGATACTGGTCCTGTTGGGTTCCGTGGACCTCGTGGTCAACCAGGTAAAGCTGGTCCAATGGGTCCACAAGGTGCTGATGGTCTTGAAGGTCGTCAGGGACCAACTGGATCTCGTGGACGTGCTGGTAAACCAGGAGAAAATGGTGCACAGGGAATAGTTGGTCCTCCTGGTGAACCTGGATCTGACGGCGAAGACGGTCCTAACGGACCTGATGGAGCGGTTGGTCCTCAAGGTCATCCCGGTTGGATGGGTCCTCCTGGTATGCCAGGTGAACAAGGTGAAGATGGTCCTCGTGGTGATACTGGTGAAGATGGTCCAGAAGGAAACCCAGGTCCAGCTGGTGAAGTTGGTCCAGTCGGTCCACGTGGTAAAACTGGTCCTAAAGGTCCAAGAGGAGATTCAGGTCTTCCTGGTCCTCAAGGTCCCACTGGTCGCGATGGTCCTAGGGGTCCTCCTGGTCCTATGGGTCCACCTGGCCCTCCAGGTCCTCCTGGTCCATCCGTGGTCAAAATGCCAATGACAACCTCACCGACAAAGGGCAATATCATGTACTCTGATGCTGCCGCCGTTGCTCAGGTCTTTGGCGTTGAATCAGTCTCAGCACCATTGGGTACTCGCGACGTTCCTGCTCTTACTTGTAATGACCTTGTGAAGACTAATCCAAACCTTCAAGATGGTCTCTACTGGATTGATCCCAACGGTGGTGCTCCAAAAGATGCAATCCAAGCATTCTGCAACTTCAAAACAGGAGAAACTTGTATTGGGGCAAGAAAGGAGGTATACTCAGCTGTTGCTGAGAAACACTCAGATGACAATGTCTTGTGGATGGGTGAAGTTGCTGATTATGAGAACCTCCTTTATGCTGTTGAAGGCACACAATTGGCTATGCTTAAGGCTCGTTCTCAAACTGCCCACCAAACCCTCTCAGTCTCCTGCTCAAAGGAGCTCAAACTCTACGCTGACAACGAAGTCGAACTTACCTCAAATGGCGCTCATGCCAATTTCAATGTTGTCTCTAACAACTGTCAGGTTAGTTAAGAAATCATTCAATTTTCTGAGTTGATTTAACTGACTCTGAGAATGCCGCTTTACAGTAACTGATTTTCTTGCATTGTCTCTTATGGTAGAATACCTCTGGTGTCTCCAAAGAAATGGTTCTGGATGTTCAAGGACCCCCAATGCGTCTCCCAGTTCGTGACGTAGCCTTCGTTGATACTGCCGAGGTCAAGATCGATATCCGTGTGGGTCAAGTTTGCTTTGTGTAAACTCTGACACTTACACTTCGGGATAAAGCCACAGGAATTAACGCTGATAATAATGACTGAAGTTAGATAATATTAATGCACAGTGATATCTCAACACAAATCTAAATAACTGAAATCGGTGCTAGTATTCTCCCCCCCCCCTCCCCTCCATTTTCTCTCTGTGTTTTTTTTGTCCCAAACATCTTGAACTTCCTAGCAAACATGAATACTCTTTTTCCAGTCGCCCCATCCGATCCACAAAGGTTTTGCTTCATGTTCACCCCCTAGCATCACTAATTTCAGTCCTGCTAGTTACCTACAAACCAGCGTCCCTTTTCCCACTCTCTCTCTCCCCCTCCCTTCCTCCCTCCCTCCCTCTCTCCCTTTGCCTTATGTCGTCGTGAGCCAATGTTTTGTGATTATGTATACATTGTTCTGTTCTTGAGTGAGGTGTGTTTAATACGAGCCTGATGATGTTAGGTGCCGCCCTCAGCACTCATTGAAGTTTGCCTCCTTTCCTCCGCCTCCGTCTTCTATCATCTGCTGGGGGGGGGGTTGCTCAGGGTACGATGTTGTCGAAATTTATTTATCAGATGCATTTTATAAAAGCCCTCTTGAACTCGACCCATTTTACTAGCAATCCCAAGTCCTTAAGAAGAAAAAATAGTTTATTTTCACTCATAATGACTTAAGATGTCATATAGTTGGAAACGGAGGTAATAACCCTAAAGAAAATCGTGAAAGTCGTATGATTATGAACTATTTATTAATTGAGCATTCTTTAAACATCCCATTCTTGAGTGTTGATTGACTTTAAGGCGGAATTTTACTGACTACGTAGCTTTATTTCTACCTTGAATAAAGCCGAAGAACTATTTATTTATACCAAATGGCAGGCGTTTTGATAGTTATCATTAGCCCCTTAGTTGACTTCAGGCTTCACTGAGGGGAGGAGAAACATCAAAGTGAGAAGAATTCGGTGGGGGGGGGATAGAAGAGTGATTCACAGATGTAAAAGAAACAGGCACAAAGGCTCAGAAAGGGTAAGATGAGTACCGTGTAGGGGTCAAATATGACATACAGTGGGGGTGATGGTTGTTGAAAGTGAGAAGTCAACTGCCGGTTAATAGACTTTTTGCCGATTGATTATACGTTGCCCAGGGAGCACCACGCGGAGGTAAGTCTGTCCCACACCCCAGCCGAAGAACTATAGTGAGTAGTATAAAAATGAAAACCGCTCGTATAGATGTGCCACTGGTTCACAAATAGACTAAAAGGTGGGGAGATTAAAAAAACATTTAAATGAGCGTTAGACAACGCTTATTAGATGTAGGTTTTAAACGTTGTTCGATTGAAAAAAAGCACTCGTTGGCCAATAGGGAAGCTGAACTGGGAGTATAATGTGGCCATTGGGTAAGTGGGGCTGTATAGCCAACGGCCACTATGGGCAGCAGTGGAGTTGGGCGGACATAGTGATGACCAATTCTTCTCACCACTCCCATTCTTTCCTTCTTGATCCCTAATTCCGTTATATATATATATATATATATAAATTAAGATCACGATTATCATATAACAGTCGTCTTGCTACAAGAGTTTGAAGTTTGAATCGAATTCTAAATAGACCTTTATTAATGTCCGTCATATGGGGGGGGGTGTGTAATAGACTTGCCTCCCCGTGGTGCAAACTGGGCAACGTATACTCATACGGCAAAAAAGTCTATTAACCGGCAATTGACTACAAACCACCATGACCCCATGGTATGTCATGTTTGACTACTTCCATAGTACTCACCTCACCTTACCTTTTTTTACCGTCATATGGAAAAGGACATAATCATAAAGTATTTGAAATTTGAGAAAGTTGGGGAGCATAATAATCACAAGAAGCGAAAGTAATGGGAATAGATGGTCATGGGTCTCGTATCAACCGAACTTCATTGTAGTCAACAGCGACCGATAACATTCTTCCTGATCTAGCTAATGATTTCATCCTGACCCACTCAGTGCGTAGTGAGTTTAAGATTGGTCCGTTGAGATTGTGAATCTACCAATGGCACACTTGTAGCTTATAGCTGACTGCTCTATTGACATCCACAGTGTAAAACATTTTTGGTAAATGAAATTAGCCATATCCTAGTGATGTCCATGTGAAGAGTTGCCCGTAAGTTGCATGAGTGAAGTACCAACTTTTAACGTGAGGGGTACCAATCGTGAGCCTGTGATGTATTGTTCAACGCGCTTGTCTGTGAAGTCCTATAACGTGGGTTAAATATATGACGATACTTGCACTATGAATCAATAGCCAATAGTATTAGCTGCATTTGGCAAATTAAAGGATTTACGAAATTCAAAGTTCTTATTATCAAGGAGGTTCAATAGTTCCTCCTGTTTTGACAGCCATTTGGACCCACTAATAAATGCATCTTAACATTGCTTATAAACTATAGAACAAGGAATGTAACCTATATTATGGCTTCTATTCCCAAAGTTTTTACGAAATGCATGTTACCTGTTATCATGAGAGCTTCAATTTAAGAAGTTAAATTGACACTAAATGATCAATACGACTAGGAAATTACTGGTATTCACTCTAGGAATTGTGCCTAACCGGGTTCGGACCAAGGGAAGGGGGGGGGGGTTAAATGTACGCGATTAGAGGCGTTAGCAAAGCCTGTTAACACGTCTATGAAGAAGTTGTCAAGTCGAAAAAACAAAGTATGCAGTTTGTTAAAAATACTTTATTGACGATATCGAAATTGCATTATGTTTTCCTTATCTTACCTCCACGTGGTGCACCCTGGGCAACGTATATTCATACGGCAAAAAAGTCTATTGACTGACAGTTGACTTCTCACTTCAAACTACCATCACCTCACTTTATGCCATATTCGACTATTTCCACAGTACTCACCTCACCTTTTTTCTACCTTTGTGATTGTCTCTTACATCTTTGAAACACTCTTCTGTTCCCTCCCCCCCCTCTCGACTTTTTTCAATTTGATGTTCCTCCTCCCCTCTGTGAAGCCTGAAGTCAACTAAAGGGCTAATGATAACCGTCAAGACGCCCGCCATTTGATATAAATAAATAAATATTCAAAGCAGAAGCGTATAATTCTACATTTGTTTAGATCTCGTAATTAATAAGGAAATTGGATCACGCTATTTAAAGTTCTGTTGCCTTTAAATTTGTCTCCCCCTTTCCGTTTACAACATTTTTTGCTGGATAATGTTAGATTAGCCAATAGAAACCCTCATTTAGAAGCGTTTGCAACTTATACTGCAAAATAATGAAATAAATGAGCAACGAAAGCCACACTTTGCTTTATTTTTAGTTGAAATGACAAAAACAGCATTCGCTTGTTATTTAATCAACCACTCAGTTGTCTATCTTAGAAAATGTAATCCTGAGACAGACATTGTAATAATTAATGGTATTTTGTTAGAAAAATAGTGGTATTTTTGCCGGTTTTGCACTCCACTGACTTGTGTCTAAGGTTGATAGTGCATCAGTAACTTGACCAACCTTTGTGAGAGGTTGCTTTTCAATCACACAGTTACTAATTGCACTATCACGCGCCTCACATTAAAATGATCAAAACCGAGATAATATTGAGTTATTCCATAACTGCCCCGTAAAAGCTATAAGGAGAATGATTAGCACATTTATCAGCCTCCAATTAGATGAAATCGCAATTCCAACATAGTCTACTCAGCAGGTTTGTGACAGAAATTCATTATTTACATTTAATTTGCGAATAAAAACATGGTAACTTTGCCGGTGGAGGATGTATTTTTAGTTCTCTTTTAACTGAAATGGAAATGGATTAACTACTCTAAAGACAGTCTATTAGCTTTATTAAAATGTTGATTGTCTTTACAAATAGCAAACAGACTAATTTTCTGCTTATGCAAATATTGATGTATTTGAGCAGTTCACTAAATATCGCAAAACTACTTCTTTTAAGAATCGATTTAACAGAGATTTTACAATTATTAGAATTGAAGTTTGTTTAACGATGAGCAAAAGCTTGAATTGATTTCACAAAGAAATAAATAAGTTATGAGCAGACTAAAAAACATGATATTAAATAAAAAATTTAAATAACTACTGGGAAAATATATTTTCTATTTTGCACAGAGACGAATTCTTCCTATCCCATTCTTTATTCTTACAGTTAATATTGGTGAGATCTATACCTTAATCTCTTGAAATCTTACATAAATGCTTACTAATTTACAACTAACAATAGTCCTATAATTTCAAATTAAAAGAATGTTTTTAATTTATATATTTTTTTGAGAGCATTTAAAAGAATAGTATCAGTAATCCAGTATATACACGTTTAAATAAACATAACTAGTGTTAAAAATGAGATGATAGGTGGGTACCGTAAATACACTGCGAGGTAAAGAAAATATGATTTAACAAATGGTAACAGAATATATACATATTATAAAATATGTAGCTAACAATTAAAGTAAATTAATTTCTGATTAAAAGAAGTTAGTATCTAGATTGATTAAACTTGGCATTTTCGAATATAATTTTTTTATTAATCAACTGGTTATTTCAATGGTTCATTAAAACAATGAAAAAAGAATTATACCAGAATTATAATTTAAAATTTAACCGAAATCATGTAAAACTTAAGAATTTATTCTTTATTTGAATTTCCAAATGCAGTTTGTTTTAAACCACCAAAGTTGCAATTGTCCTTGATAGATTAATGATCGCAATTGAAAACTAAACTCGTTTTCGTTCAATAGTCGCAAGTTCTCACGTTTTTTATTAATTTTGTCAATTTGCCTTATTTATTTCAAGAATACCAGATTACGGTTATATTTTGTATATTATTTGCTTCATATTTATATTTTATTTTGATTTTGGAACTTTATATAATAGTTATTATTGTTATTTTGTATACTCATTTGGGATATTTGCTTCATTTTCTTTATATTTAATTATTTTTCATTTTAAATGAATTGATGCTATTCTCCTTATTTATTTCGCTATTCAC